AAATCAGTTAGCATGATTTTTCTCAAATTTGTTAGTTCAAACTTATTTGGTAAAATTTAGAACTAAATCTAGTATAAATTAGGTAATAGAATTCTATCAGCATTAACATTTTCTCACCAAAGTTCAAACTCCCAGATCATTGATATCTTAGAACATCTATACATTCACCTCTTACACCTTACAAGGCAAATAAGTATAACATGTCTTCCTAACACGATATATCAGTGATGGAGATAAGATGCAGCGGGCTAACTGATTATCTAAGGACTAACTATTTGCCTACTTATTTTGCAGCGCAAAGAAAAGGAGGTACCAATCTTAAGAACCTGTGCTCCCCCTCCCTTTTCATCTTAATGATTGGCCCACATGAACCTGCGATTTTGAACTTGTTGGTATCCAAGCTTTTGCGTGTATTGCAAATATATTTTGTGATAGCGGAAGATTAACAGTATTGGGCAAAATGTAAGATGTTATTTGACTGATTTTCCTTATTGTATTGTTATCATTAAGATTACGCAAAAACGAAAATATTTCGGAATGAATTACTTGCCTAATACCACTATTATGCCCTGTAGGCCTTACCTTATCTATTTCTAATTCAGCCGCTCGTCCCTATTGATGAGCCTCGGAAGTGAACTAACTCTTATATTTGACTCTATTTGAGGATAAAGGCAAAATAGGCTGTATTCTCAACTTACACTTCATTTATAAATGATAATGCTAAAATTAGGATAAAAAATCGATGGAAATCACAGCGGTCGATCATGAAGGATCGCTGCTGCTCTTTAGCAATAAAACATTCTTCTTAAGTATAGGTGACTGCGTTATTAACCAATGAGAAAAAAACGATACAAAGGCTCACTTTTTGCAGAGTAATCCAGTCGTAAGCAGACGACAAAACTTCTTTTGCATAAGATTTTATTATAGGTGTGGGTAGAGGACACTTATTTGCTCTGAAACATATGAAGCATCTCTCAAGTGCTAGTTATATTAGTGTGCCAAAGAAATCTTCTGTGTTCTTTTGGGACGAGTGACTTACTTTTCCGAAGTTGCGAAGTTGTAGCCCCTAAACAAAATTTGAGCTAATAATACGTTTTCCGAATGTGAACCAAAAAGTACCTATATCGATTTTTCGACTGAAAACGTTTTATTAAGATAGCATATTCGTTCATTTGAGCTACGAATATGGGGAAATTGAGCTGCAATAATGCGTATAATCTTTCTCCCAGTAACAGTCTAGTGATTTGCGGTGCAGGAAGGTGTGCGATCTAAATATAAGTGACCATTATACTTATGATAAAAGTTATGTTGTTACAGCTACTACAGTACCTGGTAAAGAAGAGATGCACAGTCATTTCCATCACGCCAATCGTCGAAGGTGGGCATATACATCTCACTCAAGGGCATGCAAGCATTCATATTCTAAAATACTTAGAATTTTCTGAGAAGTTATTTAAAAGTCTTATTTCTGATAAATAGAACGTTTTAATAGAATAAAAAATACTTATTAACACTTCAACCTTTTTCGTTTGCTGAAAAAGTAAAAACACATCTGCTTTCAAGAGTTCAAGAAGCACTTTGAGTTATACCTCATCAGAGATGCAAAACCGTATCTTTGGACTGAGTGCATGCACTTCATAGTCGATCAATGGGGCAGCTTCGGAACCCTAAATCAAGAATTTCCAAAAAAGTCATCTATTTCTCAATTGTTGAAAAGCATACCGTAACCTTCAAATGGTAGAAAGCGCTTCCAGTTTTTGATATTTTCACTACCGCTTGGTCTCTTAATAGATTTCTCAGAATACCGAAATTTTCCAACAAGAAGAAAAACATCTCACCTTAGTGCATGCACACAGTATAACACGAAAAACCGCATAGCATTAGCAAAAAGGCATTCTAGGAGCTTGGTGACTTCTTCTTTAGGCAGCTTTGTAGCTTCTTCGACGGATGACGATGTTATTCGCAAAGAGACTGAAAGACACTTGTATTAAAATGTGCTTTATGAGGTTTAAGTTGATTAGCGCATGGATGCTGTTGCTTACATATTAATCTGATATCAAAATATCGAATTTTGCTAACCATAAATTATTCCAAAATTGGATAAATATTTTTCCAAGATCTTCCATGAGTAATTTCAGACCAGATCAATTGTTCCTTACGAAAAAATTTCTTTGAACTCGGGCGACTTGTGTCTTAATTTTTCATTTCTCAAGTGATCAAATTCATTGAAATTTCAATTTAGGGCCATTACCGGTAAAATGCGAACGCGAGCGGCAGTTGGCGCAAATTTTACATAGAGATAAAACTTTGCAAATTTATAATTATCTCTTTATACAGAGTTGATAGAGTGTATCATCAACAATGGGAATCCCTGGTCTGAGTTGTGCAAGTCGCCACGCAAGACGTTGGGAAAGCTTTTTTCCCTAAATTTCAAACTTTGTCGAAACATAAGGAATGTGGAGTTGGTTTGAAACACATACCTGTCCTTTACCCCAGAATGAATCAAGAATGAGATACCGCAAAATGAATTGAAAATAGAAACTGATCCCTGACGAAGAGAGGAACTTTTCACTGAAATGATAAGGATTTCACTAATTTGTCGGTTACTAAAAAGGCTTTAAAATGGAGTATTGATTACATCAAACAAATTTTCAAAGCTAACATTTACTTGTATGCTAATGAGGAGATACTTTATAAATGCTTTTATTCCCAAAGTTCTTAACAAAATGCCGGATTTGACGTTTTTATAGGAGAAAAGTCATAGAAA